GCCACTGGCGGAACAAAATGCTAAAATGATGTTCTTATATTCTTAAATCCAAAGGCTGCTGTAATTGCCCAAGAAAAACAACAGCAGGATCTGAGTAAACAAGTAATGACAGAGTTGGTGTGGAATTGTTTCCTTCAGACAATCTAACTCAGTGTTTCTCAACCTTGGCAACTTCAAGATGGCCAGACTATGACTCCCAGATGTTCCCGGCCAGCACTCGCTGGCGGGGGAATTCTGGGAGTTGAAGTCTGGACATCTTCAAGTTGCCAAGGTTGAGAAACACTGAGTTAGATTGTCTGAAGGAAACAATTCCACACCAACTCTGTCATTACTTGTTTACTCAGATCCTGCTTTGGTTTTTCTTGGGCAATTACATCAGCCTTTGGATTTAAGAATATAAGAACATCATTTTAGCATTTTGTTCCTCCAGTGGCCATAAACAAGACTTGAGTTCAGTACCACTTTCCTGATCATGCTCTGTAATACTGAAGGCACTGTAAACCCATCATGACTAGTGGCCATTGGTAGCTTGCCCTCTCTTTTTAAATCATCCAATTAAATTGGAATTAGCTGAAGGCTCTGATAAATAGTGTTTGAAATCACATCTGGACAGTCAAAGGCTGATTACTCTGTACAGTTTAGGTTAATATTCTTATTTCTACATAATTTTGTAGCCCTAGAATTCAGGAATGCCTGAATGTATCCATTATAGCATCAAAAACCTCATGAAGAGGTTTGCTAAGGATCTGTTGGGAAATGGTCTGTCTCATTTATGATGATTCTTAACATAGTTTAATATTGCACTGGATTACTGTATAAAGCAATTAATTAAGATTTGGTTGCCCATATTTGCTTTTTTTTAAAATGAATTTAACAGCTGGCCAGTAGTGGCAAAAATATTTACCAATGAGATTTAGGCAAGCTATATAAAGTAGTTCTGAAATTCTGGAGATAGCTCCAGCTATGCTTTATCATCCTAAGTAAATGGGTAATTAAAACTGGGTGTAAAACTGAAATCTTAGTGCTTGCTTGTTAATAATTCAGTGGTTGTAAATTTTGGACCTGATAAATTTTGGTCTCCTGGATAATAAAAGGATTTATTTTATTTCATGAGTAATGACTTTCTTTTAATTACATTAAAGAGGAGATAATGGCAATTCTCCATGCTTAAGGCAACATTGTTATTTGTCCTTTACCCCCTCATATTAAAACATTCATTTAATCTTGTCCAGGAATAAAATGTTGGAGGCCTGTCAGCATCAGTTTTATAGATAACTCTTCTTTTTAAAAAAAGATATTGGGTATCATAAGGCTCAAGGGCTGCCTTGCCAGACTCATTTATTTCCATTTACCTTTTGTCAGCATTGCAGATGGAAGACATTCAATTAAATCATGTCACCTGTTACTTGTGATCTAATTTGTATTGTAAATGGCACAGATTAGAATGCCAAGCTTCATGTGCCCCCAACTTTTTGAAATTATGTAGAACAGTAATCCCTTTGGAAATGTTAGAAAAAGTGTGCATATGAGAAGAATTGTTACTTATGCACAGTGTGTTCCAAGGTCCTTGTCAGGGCTTCTAAGATCAAATCTATCCTGCTTATTTTTCCATCCATGCTTCAAGCAAGTTATCTTGGCAGGAACAGCCCTTCCATTAGGAAGAGTTGAATAACCACCTTACACAGCAGATCCTACAGGTGTCTATGGAGAGCAATAGTAGCAACCCCACATCAACTGCTTCTCTGCATTAGTGAACATCCCTAAACTGCCCCTTTGTGTTTAGTTGGAAAATGGATACTCTCCTAGTAGCGGGATTGAAGAAGGTTTTTGCAGCTAATCTACTGAATTTGGCTGATACTGACAAATTGAACGGGGTTAATATTTGGATGAGAAACCACTGAAAATACCAAGGGTGTAACACTAAACTAGGAGCTTAAAAATAACATCCCAAATATTTCATTGTTTTAGACAATGTATATGGCTACTCATCTTTTATATAAACTCTGGAAGCTAATAACAATCAGTGAACAAAAATATAAAACTTCTAGAAACTAAATAGAAAGCAGAATTAAAACAAAGATATAACATCTTATAATAAGTTCACAGCACATATTGTTAAGTTAAGAACATGGGTGGTAAAAAGATTTTACTCTCTTTCTCTCCTTGTAAAATAAATGTGATTGGGATGAAGAAGAGGCATCATCTCCATTTCAGGGAACTAAACATCATGGCATAGCTTTTACATTAAATCCAGTATCAGTATTAGTATCAGTATCAGTATTGTGCCTTATTTTTCCAAGAACATCTGATTTTCATATAGTTCTCTGCAGTATTATAGTGAATCTTTTTTCACTTTAAAAGTTGCTTATCCCAGTGGTTAGGTCTTGAAGTCAATTTCAATGTTCTTTGGATTATGAGTACTTTTTTCTTGTTCCAAAAATATTGTCTTTCTCCTCTGAACATTATATTTTGTACATAGACACATTCATGGACACACTTCACGTTTTTACACTGCCCTTACTAATATGCTTCGCACTGTAGATAGCTATCAAGAGACAGAAACCGACTTCCGTTTTGCTAATTGTTAATTCAGCAGTACAGCAGGAAAGCTTTAACATTATCCGTAGCTTTTATCCTTTTTGATGACTTAGGATTCCATTTCCAAAAAATTGTCCTGCTGACATATGCACTTTTTGTAACTTCATTGCTTCCTAGCTTTACCTATATTTGGCTTTACGGTTGCAGAGCTGAATAATTTCAGACCCATTTAATATCATGTCAAATTTTTGAATTTATTCATTAATTATCAAATTTATATGGCCACCCATCTCACAGGAAATGATTCTGGGTGGTCTATTATATGAATAATATTATTCATTATTATTTTTTGACAAACAAAAATATTTTTAATGTATTGAAATTGGTATTTTCATTTGAGTTTAATAAAAACAGGGAAGGAAATTGTTTTTGTTGCTCAGGTATTTCGACTTGCCAGCCAATGGACATCCTTTTATCAAGATTAACTGCTTTTTTGACCTCTAGGAAATTCAAGCTTGCATCATCAGTGATGCAATTTTTTCTTTCATCTTAGTTTTTCCAAGCATCAGGCCCAGTCATCAGGAGTCTTGCCTTTGTATTATGTGTCCAAATATTTAAGCTTTAGATTCACTTTTTGTATTTTTTTTCAGCAGCCTGGATTTACTTCGTATTATACTGACTGAAGTCCAAAATATTTTCTCCAACATTACAGTTCAAAAACTTTTGTTCATTTTTGATGGTTCAGTCCAAAGACTGCAAGGGTTTTTAGCTACATTTTTCTCTAATGTGTAGCAGTAAAGCATTCATGTGATCAATAAAGCAAAAATAGACATTTATTTATTTCCTAGATTTATATTCTTCAAAAAGCAATACATGTAATGCTTGTTCCTCCCATTATTTTCCATAAGTGGCATACTTTAAAATTTAAAAAATTATTTCATTTAAAGTGTTAATTAACTTTATCTAGCATCTTTATTCTTCAATTAACAATGTTATCTTATTCTTTTATATGGGACAATGTTTCTAATGAAAGATTGCTCTAATGTTCCTTCTCTTATCTTTTTAAGTATTACTCTTTTGGGTTATATTTGTTTGTATATTGCCTTTGCTAATCTTACCTAAACTTTAGTTATGAAATTCAATTTCATAACACTTGCCATATGTATGAAGTGCAATTTTATACTGTTCAAAGTATAACTCCTATGCTCCAAGAAATGCTATTCCAAAATATTGGATATAATTTTAAAAATATTATTTCTATTCTGTACTATTTCTGCTGTTTGATTATTTGAAATGCCCTGTATTTGGAATGTGGCCAATTCTAAAAGGGTACTTGACCAAAGACATTGTTATCAGTCTTCCAACATTTTCCAGACTCTCAGAGCCAAGTTGTCGAAGTTTTCTGTTGCTCTTATCATAACAATTGTGAGACAACCAAAACAGAAACCACCAATGGAACTTCCCCCATTCTCCTATGCTTATGTTGTGTCTCTATTCACTGTGGGAAGAACAAGCAGAACTACCTGCAGAATAAAAACACCCAGACACTACCATGGTTTAGAACTTGCAGATAAGAAACATAACCTGCACTAAGGAAGGGAGTAAAGTTGATAGGTTTCTCAAATGGGAAATAGATGCACTTTCCTGACCTTTCACATTGAAAATCAAGGAACATTCCATGTTTACAATATATTCCAACACTTTTGATGCTTTTTCAGTGGGAAATTGGGATTGTAATTTAATAGGGAGTGAACTGAAATTTTGGCTTATTTATTGAAAATTTTCAAATAATTGCACAAAGTATTTCAGTTGTGTTAAACCTTTCTTTTTCTTTCTTTTCTTTTCTTTTTCATGTTTAGGAGTGCGCTTAGACAGAGTACGTGGTGGTCGCCAGAAGTACAAGCGCAGAATAGATGCAGAAAATAGTCCATACCTGAATCCTCAACTAGTCCAGCCAGCCAAAAAGCCATGTAAGTACCTAGGAAGACAGTGTAACCTTTGATGTCATCAATCCATGAAGGAATAGAAACAAAATAGCATACTGTCTTGAATAAATGATTTTGTCCAGTATTTTTATCAACTTGTTCCTTTTTCAGAATAGCTGAAGAAAATACACTTTGAGGGTAAGAGTTTCATAATGCCCAATTTATGCTATACAAATTTTACATTTCCAGGTGATCTTTATTTTCACTGGTACATAAAATGGGTTGTGCTAGGATCATTAGTTCATTGAAGCTTCTAGTCTCAGATTTTACAAGAATGAAATGTTGTAGTTTTCACTAACTAGATGAATTTGACTGCTCAACCTCTCAATGAAAATGCATTAGGAGCCTCATTAATTTATAGCAATAGAAGGTTGAAACACTACCTGTATTTCAATAAAACAGCAACGTACTACAACTATAAAATATATTAAGGTAGGGTTTATTCGTGTGTGCGTAGTTAAAACAGGTATCAGTTTTCTTACATCCAAATGGTACTTAAAAAGCAAAATATAGACTGAAATTAAAGATTTTGCAAATTATGCAAATTCATACATGCTAATTCCCTAAAGAAAATGTAATAACACTCCATGGTATAAAAATCAATTTCATATCCTGTACCAAGAGGAATTGGCAATAAATGCAAATTCTTTCATATGGTACTTGCAAGCTGGCTGCCATTAAGTAGTGGCACAAACCACTGGGATACAAATGCCTTATTTGAGACAAATGTAATAAAGGGTTTTAAATGCTGCACTGAAGGCCCTTACCTGGTTGTGTCAAAAAGCAGTACATTGTTTTTCACCTGCCATTCCCCAGCACGGGACTCTGCTGGATACAATACGCATGAGCCATATGGAGACCTGGAAAGCAAATAAATAGGTTCTGAACTGTAAGTGAAAGGGCATTTTAGCGATGTCAGAGGAAAAACAAACCAGTTTTACATAAAATTAAGGCTTAAGTGAACATATGGCATCGTTTCATTTTGCCTTTCCAAAAATCATTATGCTGATTATACTTTCAATTGTCCAATCTGGCATCTTCCACACAGTCCACATAAGCTGTTCTACCCCTCTGTAAATACAATATAAGGTTGCATTAAGCAGATTTTCCGCATTATAATAAAAAAAAACTTTCTGATAATACAATAAAATTCAATGAACTCTAGTGTTTAATTTCATTAGAGGTTTAGATTTTTCTGGATGCACAGATTGCCAGCTTTTTATTTATTTTATCTTGTGCCATTGATTTGAATTGCTGACAGCTCGGCCATGCACACACAATTAAGCCTATTTAGCACAGACTTCGTTTAATGCTGCCGGATTGAAAATGTAGGAGATTGAAAGAGTGCAATACAGAAGTGAGAAATCCTGAGAAAGGCATACTGTAATGAACAGGCACTGTCTAAAGAATATTACCACCCTTTTTTGCAACTCCTATTAATTTCAAATGATATCTTCTCTGTAGGTCCATTGGAATTAACAGAGAAACAGCATGTTGTATGTAAGAAAGTAACTAGTACAATTCTAATTTGCTATGAAGATAGATAGGCTAGTTTACAGATTTTCACATAACATTGTAAGGGATTCCTAACCCCCCACCCCTCCCAATTGCTATGAAATAGAAGCACAAAAGTTTGTGGAATCAACTTCTTGCAAATATATAACAGAGGAAACAGTAAAATGGCTTTTAAGAAATAAGTAGAGATTTTTCTGGATTCTGGCACAGTTTTTTGTTTGTTTGTTTGGGTTTTTGTTTTGTTTTGCTAATTTGTTATGGAAAGTAGGTAGATAAAGGTAAAGGAATCCCTGCGGATTTTACTCCACTAGTTCTTGATGACTATAGGAGGCAGTGCTCATCTCTGTTTGAGTCAGTGAGCCAGTGATTTTCCAAAGACATTTCTGTGGTCATGTTGCCATCATGGAGTGCTGTTATCTTCCTACCAAACTAGTATCTATTTATCTACTTGCATTTGCATGCTTTCAAATTGCATTAGATGGGCAGGAGCTGGCGTGAGGATGGGAGCTCACCCCTTTGTGTGAGATTTTAGTCTTGAATCTGGGCTGCCAGCTTTCCAGCCGGCAAACCTAGCATCTTAACTGCTGAACCACTGCATCGATAGAAGGTAGATTAAACTGTTTAAAAAGCAATATTGGATAATAGGCCAATCAATTACAGTAATAAAAATATCTCCATTGGTATATATATGTTGTTATTTATTATTTGTTTATTAAATTTGTTTGCTGTCCATCCCAACACAAATTTTTCCCAATCAAAATTTAATACTATGGTGGAAAACTCTCTATTGGTTTTCAGAAACTGCTGAAATGCCATTATCTATAAATCATATAAATATTCACCATTAATCAATTTTGAAAATAGTAGTATGTTGGGGTGGGATGGGATATTTATTTTTTTGCCAGAGTTGAAACATAAGAACATCTACCTCCTAGGCTTTTTAAATCATATGATTAAAACCATTTTTAATTGCCTGTTCTTTTAATATGGGTATAGGATCTGCAAGAGGTAGAATATATCCTCAGTTTTAACCAGCCCTTTTCCATTACATCTCCCACATCAACAGCATTCACAAGTGATGCATTACGGACTTAGTGTTCCTCTTGTCATTTCAAAGAAGCCCTTATTAATAATAATAAAATATGTTTGATGCAATGCCTTGCAATTGGCTTTTGCATTTGTTTTATGAAGGACTGACATACCTCACCTTTCTGACATACACATTTGTAAAATACTGGAGACAAATAGATCAGAACTCCAGAATAAATTACACTACAGAACATTTTAAAAAACCGTTTTGGAGTGAGCTTTGTCACTTAAAAAAAATGAATTTCAATTTCTAAACATAGTTGAAGTTTATTGCTGAACCTGGTGGAAACCTCTGCGTGTAAGTTGTTTGTTAAATCAGTTAAATAGTTGGAGAACTTTGCTTAACTTGCTTTTTTCCAATTATTAAAAACACAAAGATGATCACAGTTAGTGTGCAATGCTGAACACAGTCAGCAATTGTGCTTTGTTTTCACCAAGCTGTGAATGATTTCAATTTATGGTATTTATAATGGTTACATATAAATACCGTGGTGTCACGGTGGTTAGAATGTAGTAGTGCAGGCTACTTCTGCTGATCACCGGCTGCCAGCAGTTTGGCAGTTTCGGTCTCACTGACTCACAGTTGACTCAGCCTTCCATCCTTCCAAGATCGGTAAAATGAGGACCCAGAGTTTTGGGGGCAATAGGCTGACTCTGTAAACCACTTAGAGAGGGCTGTAAAGCACTATGAAATGGCATATAAGTCTAAGTGCTATTGCTATTGCTACATATTTAATTATATTTGTTATAAACATTCAGATTTCAAAGAGGAGAATTCAAAGTGTGAGAGAAATTATAGTTTCTTTTCCCATCGGTTCCTCAACTTGATCAAGCAGGAGATTAAAGTTCATGTGCATATTTGTTCAACCAGTATTGTGCATAGATGAATTTATGTATTTCAATGACTTTTAGAAGGATTTTATTTTATGTTTTTCCTGCGGATCTTGAATATATTATCTGTTCATAAAGTTATATTCTCTCCCCTTTTCCCTTTCAAGTTGAAAAAAAAATATCTTTATGAAATATTGCCGTAAAAAGTTTTCTAGAAACTGCCGTGTTCCTTTTAAAATCAAATATTTGCATGACATGAGTAACAGAATAATAGATTTAGGGACCTTGGAGGTCTTCTAATAGTTTTTCTCAATCAGGAAACACTATACCATTTCAGACAAATTGTTGTCCAATTTCTTCTCAAAAACCTCCAGTGTTGAAGCACACAATCTGTGGAGACAAGTTGTTCCACTGATTAATTCTTCTAACTGTCAGGAAATTACTTCTAGGTTGCTTCTCTTCTTGGTTATTTTCTATCCTTTGCTTCTTGTCTTGCCTTCACGTGCTTTGGAGAATAGCTTGACTCCCTTTTCTTTGTGGCAACCCCTGAGATATTGGAACACTGCTATCATGTTACCCCTAGTCTTTTTTTTTTTTCATTAAATGAGACATACCCAATTGCTGCAACTGTTCTTCCTGTTTTCCTCAAGTCCCCATATCATCTTTGTTGCTCTTCTCTGTACTTTTTCTAGAGTCTCAGCATCTTTTTTATATTGTGGTGACAAAACTGGATACAATATTCCAAGTGGGATATTACCAAGGCATTATAAAGTGGTATTAGCACTTCATGGGATTTTGATTCTATCCCTCTATTAATGCATCCCAGACTGTGTGGGCTTTTTGGCAGCTGCAGCACACTGCTGGCTCATATTTAAATCATTGTCCACTAGGACTCCAAGATCTCTCTCACAGTTACTACTATTGAGCCAGGTACCACCTATTCTATACCTGCCATTTGGTTTTTCTTGCATAAATGTAGGACCTTACTTTTCTCTACATTGAATTTCATTTTGTTAAAAGTGAAATCACGTGCATCATGCAAATGATATTATGGTATGCAGGATTTAAGTTGGTTCCTATATGTAATATTCAGGCTAATTGTACAATCTTCTAAAGTTAGTGTGTATGTGTCCCCCCCACTAGGATTGGTGGAGCTGTATTCTATGGTTCATTTGTACAGCTATGTGTACATTAGGTAGCAATAGCTCTTCGGGTGTCAATGCTCTGTAGCTTTTTCTACATTTACCTTTATGTCTAAAAAGATCTGAATATTATGAGTTGTACCATAATGGTTCTTTTCAAACTTTTCTAAGAACAGAAGAACATCCCTGGCTAATCAATTCATCTAGGAACTTCAGAAACAAGACATCAGCCTTTTTCCACTAGCTAGCTAGCAACAAATATTTTAGATTTATAGCTGGTGATTCAGACTGTTTCTAAGGTAAACAGCTCTCAAGGGTATCGTCTAATACCTACTGATAAACTTAACCTCTATTAATTTTTAAAATTTGCTTTCAGAAAGTATCAGAATTGGTAGGCATTAATCAGATTCCATAGGGTTAAAATATGGACTTCTGGCATCTGAATAGAAGAACCATCAAGAATGTTCCCCTTGGGTTTTTCCACATAACACCTTGTTGAAAATGAATTTTTAAGTCAGCTGATCATATTATTAGCCATGTGTTCCTGAAAGACTATGATTATAACAACTTTCACTACCTTTTCCTGATCCAATATGGGATGCTGAATGAATGAAAGGGGAGGATTGGCTGAATGGTTCATTCTGTAATGGTGTCCACTTGGTACATCATTAATTTTAGCTCCTCTTATATGTTGATTATAATGTCTTCTGTTCATAGTATGATAATGATTACAAATCATGTATATTTACACAACTTGGCTGTAGTTTTTTCCTACTCTTTTCAAAATAAAAAAGATGTTTATTAAAAATGGAACTGAGCAAAAGAATAGGGGCTGTAAAATATTAGGTAAAATCTAGTTTTAGTGATAGAAAATGCTAATTGGAGGCAGTTAAGGCAAATTATAGAGTTCAGCTTTTTCATTTTTATCTGATTTATCACTCTTATTCCATATGGAAAATCATGCAAGGTAATCCTTAAATTACAACAGTCCATTTAGTGACCATTCAAAGTTACAACGACACTGGGGAAAAAGTGGCTTAGGACCATTTTTCGTGATTATAACCATTGCAGCATCCCCATGGTTATGTTATCAAAATTCAGATGCTTGGAAATTGACTCATATTTATGATAGTTGCAGCTCCCAGGATTATGTGATTCTCTTTTGTGACCTTCTGACAAGCAAAGTCAATGGGAAAACCAGATTCATTTAACAACCATGATATTAACTTAAGTGCAGTGATTCACTTAAAAATTGCAGAAAGAAAGGTAATAAAAGGGGACAAAATTCACTGAACAAATGTTTCAATTAGCAACAAAAATGATCATAAATTGAGGGCTACCTATAATTTCAAATGTCCCAAAAGAACTACATTATCTTGAATGTCCAGCCTAATGCGGTGGCAACATTTCCTAGATCAAAATGTTCCTAGAATATTCTTGGATCAGCTTGCAGTTAAAAATTCTGATTTTTTTTAAAATCCAATCATCACAAATTTAATTCTTGGATTTCTTGTAACTGTGGCTTTTGTTAACAAGCAACTTTGCTCTCTTACTGATGAGCTGTGTTGGATATGTTTGAGTAGGAGGGGTTGCATATTGCATAAACCCCAATTTATTTGTTTCATCCATAGAACTGCAACAATTTCCATCTTCATAATCCCACTCTTTAGACTGGATTTATTTTTGCTGCAACTTCATTATGCTGTTGGCTCTTGTTCAACTTGTTATCTACCAAAGTACCTTTTAAAGTAGATCTTTTACTGTAAGGAGAGAGTCAATTCCCATTTTGTTACAGCAGCAGTTGTGGTTGTTACAGAAGTAGAGTAACCAACATTTTATCTGTCTTTACAGATAACAAGATTGTCTCCCATTTGCTGGTGGCTGAACCAGAGAAGATCTATGCCATGCCTGATCCCACTGTGCCTGACAGTGACATCAAGGCTCTCACCACACTCTGTGATTTGGCAGACAGAGAACTTGTGGTCATTATTGGATGGGCTAAACATATTCCAGGTACATGCTGTGTATCTTACTCAAATGCTATTTTTTATCATTTTTATGACATTTTTCAGTATGTGCTTTTGCTATTTCAGAGTGGCTTGAACATGGCTTGCATATTCTTTAAATAATTATTACAACAAATGAGTTTGTAAATATGACTTCAAAGATAGGTCTAAGGTGCCCCATATTTCTGTCCCTTGTGTTTCATTATGCACTTGGTCTAGCTGCTACATATGTTTTTCCACTGATCTCTACCTCCAAAGATAAAATCCTATGCCTGGATACTGTAGCTCTCAATACATACAATAAGAAAGGCCACTTGACTTCTTCTGTGTATGAGGTTCTTTATACTGTTATATGCTCCCTGTAAAATCCATGGATTTGGGGGTATGGGGAATCTAGGGGTATCTGGCCAACATATGGCCTCTTTTTTAAGCAACATCTAGTAAAGGTGCACTTGAATGTTGAAGTATTAAAGTGGATGTGGTTCCTTCCAATTTATCCCACCATGTTATTTCCACCAGTTGCAAGAGAGTGAAGCTAGTTACAACTGTCCTTCTCACACATTGATGCAACATATTGTTGATACTTCTGTGTGAAGAATGGTATAAAGAAGGAAGGAACTTAAAATATTCTTATTTAATTTTGAACAAAATAAGCGGGGGTAAGTTTAACTGCCACAATGGGGATTTTTTGCCACTTGAACATTCCAAAGTATGTTAGAGATTTGTAAATGTGCACGTGTAAGAAAAAAAATGTCCTCCTTCCATTAGCTGCCTTCACTGGAATTGTGGATGGGGTCTATTGCAAATAGACCCCATCCACACAGAGACAAGCACAGACAGGCACATGCTGATACTTCAGCTCTGATTTGGAATATCCTCCCTCCCCCCTAGAGTATTGAGAAGCCTGCATGGATATTATAGCTTTCCATTCCCTTAACTGCTTAGTGAATTAATAGACTAGATAGTTTGCATAGCTGTCATTTTTCCCCCCTTTTCAAAGATCTTAAATTCAGGAGGTGAGAAAACGAAGAATGAAATACCTATTCATGCCCTATCTAGATGGAAGGCTGTATTTGTGCATTTCACTCAGTGCCCTAAAATAGTTTTATCACTCTACTTTCATCTCTTTAGATTGTTCTTTTAAAGAAAAAGGCAACCTTAATTTTATGATAAAGTTAATCTATAGTGAAGCAGTTTTGACTTTTTTCAAACTTTATCTGATGTCTAGCGCACTTTCAGAGCAATAATCTTCCCACCCAGGGCTGGTTCAAGGCTTCTTGCAGGCCAAGACAAAGCAGCAGAGGGCACTGTTGGTGAGCTTGCTTTTGAAGCGTGCTTGGAACCAACCAGAGAGTCTGTTCATTGTTTGTTGTCATGAGCATGGAATTCAGTATACTAAATACTCCTATGATTCAGAAGCACTCCTACCCAAAAGGTTGTGGTTTCCATTATAAGCCTGGTTGAGCTTTTCAAGTCCATAGAAGACTTTTTCTTGTTCTACCAGCCCACCCCACATGAAAGGGAATGCAAGGAAGGACTTTTTTGGGATGGTTGCTATGAGTTTTTGCAACTAACTGCCAAGGCAGCATAGTTGAGTTCCCTCTCTGTTATCCTTCTGCAAGCAGGCAATAAAATAAAATTAATTTAATTTAAAAATCAGGTAGGCCTTTGGGAGATAAGCTGGACTGACTGTTAATGTCAGGTTTAATTTATTGGGCATGGTCTGTTTTACTGGTACATTTTAACTGTATCTTTACTTACAAAGATTTTGTCCTTGTGCAAAGGTGTAATACACATTCCTGTGATTGCTGCTTCTATAAGGATTTTTGCAATAACTTTGTCATCTCCTTTGATTTGCAAACAATCCCCAATTTTTCAGAATTTTTTATTAGCTATTTATTTGTGGACCAGAATTCTATATTTTAATTGGAATATTTCTTGGTCTACTTTAATTGGAATATTTCTTGGTCTACTTGTCAAGCATTTCAGGAAGAATGAGGTGAATTTAAATAGAATAAAAATATGTTTCTTAAGGGCTATATTACTTAATTTTATTGAAATTTTATTGCTATTGTTTTTATTTTCTATTGAGGATATGAAGTGACTATAGTACAGCTAAAAAAAAAATGGTTTTTTTTTTTTACTACATCTATTGCTGTGGGGGGTGTGGGTGTCCCTTTCCATATGCATTCCCCACTTAATTCCAACCTGTTCCCGAAGATAAAAGCACTATTTGGGATAGAAAAGGAAGAACTTGTAAGTGTTATTAATATTTGAAAAAAAGAAAAAGAAAACAAAAGAAAAACAAATATTGTCTGGAGTAAAAAGTTGCTCACCTACTGGATACAATTTAAAATTAATCTACTAATTTTGATTTGATTTCTGGGGATAGAACATGTAGACAATGTTATGTCATGTAGACAATGTCATATAGACAGTAACACTAATGCTTTTGTTAGCTATATGACCTACTTATGTGGCTTTCCTTGTTATATGGCTTACCTTGACTAGACACTTAGCATAGGATGTCCATCCCATGCTCTCAGATCAAGGGTACTTCATGGATGAGAAATTTCCTCTGGGAAAATGCATGCTCTATTCTGTGATTGTTTAATTAGTTAGAGAAAAATCCACAGAAACTGGCATGTAAATAGTTCTCATTCATTTAGTGTAATTGCATTAACCTTAGAATTTCAGTACATAACTGATAATTTTGCATATAGCTTTGCTTCTCATACTTTTTTGTTTATTTGTTTGTTTTTCTCTTTTGGACTATCTAAATGCTGATCTAGTTAGCTGCCTTTCCCACTGAGATGTAAAAAAATATAAAATAGAATTCTCACCTATTTTAATTATTTTCTGAAACCAAATACTAAATAATTATTAATATACATCTGAATCCTAATTTGGTGGGATGGAAACAGCTCTGAACTGCTCCATGTTTTCTTCAGAAATTTAGTTGTTGAGAGTTTGCTTCACCAATGGCTTATAAACGAGCTTTTGAATCATGAGCAATGTTTTTCTGGTACAGTTAACTTATTTCTGTCTCCTTAAACTAGTTTGTCTTTATGCTTTGAATGCTACAGTAATTTCTTTAATCAAATTGATGGAAGCCCCTTTCCCAGCCCACACTGAAACCAATTTATTGGTCATGATACACCAGCTATGTTACTAACAGACGTAACGAACTGTCAGGCAATATCGCAGTGAAGCTAATTTGAAGTCATTAGGTGTGCAGCGTTCAGGCAACAATTTGTTACAGTGGTTAGGAACACAGCTGACATTTCTGAATGGCTTTGTTCAGAGTAGGTCTAGATGAGCCCAAGCAAATTGTAAACTAATTTAAACATCACTCTGTATTATACTAGCTACTTTGTCTTACACTGGTTGTTAATAAAGCACCCCAGATTAAGTCAAAGCTAGTTAAATAAGTGAGTTTGAGTTTCAACTCTAACAATGCCTACGTCGGTCTTACCAATAATTAGGCATTCTCCTTAGAGGCTAGTCAATAACACATTTTGGGGATTGCAAAATATATTTATCAATTTTATTTATATTATGAATACAATACAGGGCTAAGATTTGCCTATAGGAATAGAAGAAAGTAACTGAAAGACAAAAGAAATCCACAGCATCGCTTTACAGTTGTCAGTGATTTGTTGGCTGGTTTACACATTCTCCACTACATATTGGGAATCAGAAATAGTTTTGAGCTGTTGAGGAATATTTAAACACAGGCCAGTTCACAGTAATCCAAGGGCTAATTTGTGATGCCCATTTGCTGAAAATTAAAAAATAATGAAAATCTGTCTGGATTTTTTTTTTTAATAATGAAAGAAAACAAAATAATTTGACTATGTATGTTTGTATGTATGTAAGCATATATGCATGTGTGTGTACACACACACAAACAGAGAGAGAGAGAGAGAGAGAGAGAAGGATGCTTTCTATATGAAATATATTTTTCAAAATGTTTCACAGTCATATACTTTACAAAAACACCCTCTTTCATCATTTATTTAGAAATTTGCATATTGCTGTTTAAGTAAGGCTGTTTAAAAGTATACAAATATATTCCTAGGTGTGTTGAGATAACATTGCTAATTTTTATGATAAAAATGAATCTGTTCCATTCTATACATAATGATGTTTTTTAATAAATAATACCAAGTTTAGCAGAACTTATTCGTAGATAGGAAAATATAAGATTGGAGCTAATGGTATTTAATAGAGTTTCATTTGTTATTAATTATATCTAAAGGATTTTGACTTTAAAATTTTGAACTTAGAAAAAATATCTGTATCCCATAAAAATTTCATCTACTTTTCAAGTTTGGAACATAGTGCTGAACATTTTGAATGATTGTTTCTAGTTTATTATTTGATCTTATTAAATATGTGTTCATCTATAAATTCCACTAATAGATTTGTGCTTCTGTAACTTGCATATACAAGCCTTTCTATTCTTCTGCAGAAAAATGTAACATTTATATATGAATTGATAGGCTTTATCAGTAACCGAATTAGCTTACTTGCATTAATAAATCAAAGAAATGAAAAGAGTGGTTGCTGTGAAACATGACCGTATCTTATTTGCAAAAGAAAATGATCATGATAGTACTAGGAAATTCTTGACTTGAGAGGAGAGTAAAGGCAGAAGAACAGATGATGGTGCCCTAATAGCCCTTTTTAAGAATGACAGGGCCCTACCATTAGCATCCTTTTATATCCTTGGAAATTGCTCTTGCCTCGCTGTTCTGGTTCCTATCTGCCTGATTCTTTTTTATTTCTCTTTCAATTTCATCCGCGCTCGGATAAGCGCATGCTAACACAATATGATTGAGCTGTAAAATGGAACGCTGTCGCCTCTAATCTCTTTTATGTAGATATGGAGGTTCTTCCAAACTCCACTTCATTCTTTCTCCATTGTTGGCCTTTACAGAATGGGATGCAAAGTAATGGAAACTCACACTGTCAAATATTAGAGCTAGGTTTCGCAGAGGGTGA